GTAGCATGTAGCAGCGTCGTGCAAACTCAGCATTCAATGAATTTTGTTTCCAAACAAGAACAAAATAAAAGCCTTTAATTCCAGTTCATTGATTATCAATAAATCACAGAGTAATATAATCAATCTAGTGCGTGAAGCAAATGATTTCATTAATTCATATGTAAACAAAAACAAAGACAAATCAAAGGAAGAGAAAAGAATACCAATGGAGGAACCTGATTAACTGATTGGGCAAGATCCAAATTGATAGTCTTTGACAAAATTGTATGCTCTTCTGTATTACGAATATATATATATGTTTATTATCATATATACATAAACGTAGTAGTTCGTCCGTATTAATTATTATTCAGAGCGCAAAAGATTATACAGAGTAATCATTAATTAGAGCACTAAAACAGAGGAGACTGTTTTACTCAATGGTGTATTTATCCTTGGAGTAATAATGAGAAGGTAGAAGATAGCACAAAGAAGGAAGAAAGGTTCTTTATTTAGCTGGTGGGTGGCCGTGGCGAACCGAATCGTTGGGTTCAATTTCACTCCGGCCCCAAAAATTTTGATGGTGTGGTTTTGACCCCATTTGTTTTTTAAAGTTTTCTCAACGGCACGTCGGCAATCAAATACAAATTTCCTAGTGCATCATAAGATCAAGTACAGATATTATGTGAATAAGAGAATTATTTTAGATATTATATAAAAAAACGTGTCTGATTATTCATGACAAGAGCTGATAGTGTGACAAAAGAAAGAACAGACAATTACATTTAAGTTTTTTATATATATTTCAAGTGTCGAAGCTTATCCTCGCATAATCCTGTAGACAGATAAATCTTGATCTGATCACAATTAAGCTCGTCAGTATTGGTTTCAAAAGACCAATTCAGCAAGACTTCTAGAACATGTAAGGAGTAAGTGATGTTCACTTACTCCTTACAAGTTCTAAATGTAGGAAGTATCATGAAGAGTGAGATCTCGCTCATCTCCTCAAGGTGAGAATTGAACTCAAGAGTGCTCAAGACCTCTCACAAAGGAGAGGGTGGTGAACGGTCATCCATTGGACTACACCCACCTTCCCAAGATATTTACATTTCTATTTAACCTTTAGAAAATATTGTTTTAGCTTTAAAAAATAATGAGAAAACGGGAAATGAGAAACAACGTTTTTTGTTCAAAAAACAATTATTTTGAAAGTTTTCAAAGAGTTTCGTAGAGTTTTGAAAACGAAAACGTACTTTTCCCGAGAGTTTCCGGGCTTCATAGTTCGGATCGGAGTGTGCGACTTGTTATTTTTATGCATTTGGATGTGATAAAGTTCAAGGATTGAGGTAAATTTACAATCGATTGAATAGAAATACCTTTAAAAGTGGATGAGATAAATATATTCCGTTCGGAGTATGTTTGAGTTTGGTTAAATCTGATTCGATTTAGTTAAAATATGAAAACTTCGTGTAATAAAATAGGTAAAAGTAAAAATTAACGGGTACGACTACATTTTGCCCATGCATAGCAATTCATTCAATGAGTTTATCTACTCTGCCTACATTTTTATATTGCCTTATTTGACTAACAAAATTTCATTGAAACTATTGACAATCTTTGGAATGATCAAATGACTGGAGTTGGCTAAAAATTACGAGGTAATAAACTAATCGATACGACAATATTCGTTGTGAAAATAAAATGTTACAGATATACATTGTAAAATGTACGTAATAGACATGATAAAGGAGAGTGGTTTCAAAATAGAAAAATTGTGTTTGTACAAGCTTTTTATACTCACATTTATATCCATTTACGGACAAAACAAAACTTGTTTGTGAATCTCATTTACAGATGCAACAAAACTTGTTTTGTCTGTGATCATAACATTGACAAAATAAGATATTTTATTTGTGAATGAGATTCAAGAAAAATAATCAAAGTACTACATAGTCTTTTCACATTGGTGAGTATAATGTGGATAAAGTAAGAAAGTTGGTGCTTGTTCAAAATATTTAAATCCCCACATTTAAGAATTGAAGGCATATGGAGCAAAATGTCTCATCTCATATCATGGGCCCCGCGTTCTTATATAATGATGAAGAGATTAAAGAGGATGAGACGGTGGCTTTTCAAGTGGGTGGGACTATGGAAGGCTTTTTAATTGGGTTATTTTTTTTTTAAAAAAAAAGAGGCTTTTTAATTAGGTTGGATATACTTGGATGTTAACAAAAGTCAAGTCCTTTCAAAAAACTAACAAAAGTAAAGTAAGTATATAGGGAAATTAGTACCTAATTACTTTAACCTAATCGACAATCTAATGTTAAACTTATGACACTCTTCCGCCCACCTAATCTCACACTTTTCCCATAAAACAGTAGGGATCATTATTTAGCTTGTGGGCTCGTAAGGTCCGTCTAACTGTCCGTTTGCCAAAAAGTCAGTCCCGACTCTTAAGGGTCATAGGTTAGCCCACCCCACTATTTGAAGGGGTGCGTATGGGGTAGAGTATTTGAAACCCGGTCCAACTCATTGGCCCGGCCCATCAATCCTCATCTCAGCCCAGCCTATTAAGCTCAACTAAGCTCAGCCCAAAAGCGCTTTTATACATTATTAATTTAATACACAAACCTTATAATTGGTAACATATAAAAGTCATGAACCACCAAAAATTTAGATATATAGATAAATTAGTACTCCGTATAATAGAATGAAGTTCTAGATGATTGTTAGGTGATAAAATTTTGTGATAGAGCTATAGAATTTAGATAAATTAGAATAATTGTGATGTTCCCTAATTGTACATCTCTTTTTGAAGAGTGCACTACCAAAAATATAGATATAGATATTTCGAACTTTCGTTTTAATTTTTATTGTGAGATTTTTCCAAAAATATTAATAATAAAAAATCTATGGAAAAAATGGGACTATAAGTTATTATGAGTAAGTTATACAATTGTTTTAGAGTCACTACGATGTAACATTTGGATACAATTGTAGTCATTAAAGTTATTAGAGTCACTTTTTGTCCACTATTTTATTTTGGTTATATATTTAGAATTAATTCTTTTCTTATTACATTTTTGAAGTACTAAATTCTTTTCACTCGTTTAATTGATTACGTTGCATTTTATAATGGATAAGAGTTTTTGTATTTTTCTTGTAAGACACTTAGGCCCAGCTCCTATGGGTGACATGTGGACCAGCTGAGCCCAGCCCCTAAAGCCAAACTATATAGATGAGCTAGGGCTACAATTTTTTTTACAAAAGCCAGGCCCTTTAATTAATATTTATATATAGAGCCTAGCTAACCTAGCCCAGCCCAGCCCCATTAGTTTTGGTCCGATGTAGCCCAACCCAGCCCGTTGATAATCTCTATAAAATAGATACATCACCAAATTATGGGCTCGTTTGGTAACGGCTGCAACAGCTGAAATGGCTGAAATTTATGAAGTGAAAGTGATTGGTAATATTTTGGCTGAAATGACTGATTGAATGTAAAATTATTATAAAGGATATTAGTTTTTTTTGTAATGGAAGATTAGATCTAGCAAATAGCTTCAAACGAATGCAACAATTACAACTCCAAAGAATATTCCTAATGGTTCAGTTATTAAGAATTCTTAATTAAAAACATTATATAGGCCACTCTTTAGAACAGTAAGAACCATAAATACGGATTAACATACATCGAACCCGGATCTCTCAAAAAGAAAACATCAAACCCGGAACATAGAAAATCATTATCATAATACGTAGTATCTATATTAAGAAGAATTGAAGAGGAACATGGGTTTCGTAAGAAGAAGAGAGAGAGCAGCCGAGCAGGAAGCCTTCGATCGAGAAGGAGAGGTCCTGAAGCTATGTCGCCGACTTCTTATTTGGAGCCATCAACGACGTGTTCCAGGCATTTTCCAGCAACAAAAGAAGGATAAGATGGTCTCTTTGCTAGCCAACAGTGAAATAATTGATTTCAGCTAAAAAAGTAGCCTTGGACTTGCTTTTGTGCTGATAATAATAATCAGCCAAAACAGCCTAATGGATGAGTGTTTGGCGTTTTTTTTTCTATTTTAAGGCCTCCAAACGGCCTCTATATCAACCTTGCATCTTTGTTTTTTCTATACTTTTTTAATATCAATTTATAATTGTTATTAATATAACATGAGTAAAACTTACATAGTGGAAAAATGGTGACTTGTACAAAATGATCACAATAATGTGTGCACTTTAATTATTAAAATAATATAGTAAATATTCAATTCAAAACGGTTGCAAAAGTTGAATTCATTTATAAAATTGTCCCGCATTTTCTGATTTATAGTGATGCATATATATGTAGGGGTGGACTCGGGCCGGTTCGGGCCCGGTTTGGGCCTGGGTTCATGAAAGGGGAGGCCGGGAACCGGCCCGGGTAACCCCCGGGTCTGGTTCGGGCCGGGCCTCGATTCAATTTTTTTTTTGGCTTTTCCTAATTAACCCCCAACCCCCCCCCCCCTCACCCCCAAACCACCCCAAATTACCTCAAATGGCCCAAAATACCTAGCCCAACCCAAAAACTTAAAAAAAATCAAAAAAAAAAAAATAAATTGGCCCGGACCGGGGCCGAACTGGCCGGGCCGGTTCACCTTTTGAGGGGCCCGACCCCGGACCGGAACCCCAGCGGGTCGGGCCTACCCGGACCGGTCCCTGGCCGGGCCGGCGGTTCGGGCCGGTTCAAATAGTGACCGGTTCGGGCCGGTTCCGGGGCGGGCCGCCCGGCCCGAGTCCACCCCTATATATATGTGAAACATAATGTACAATTTTCAAATTTAACACTCGAAATTCGTTCACATTTCTCTGCTTAGATCGCGTTTTCGATAATTTGAATTAAATTCTATGATTATAATTATGTTCAGTTCACAAACAAGATATGGTGGTTGTGTATTCACTCATATTAATTTTAATCACATCTATGTCCTAAATTTAATATTAGTAATATTCAAAAAAACTCTTGACTTATTTCCTCAAATATGACTTACTTTCTCCATTTAAGAACCATCAATCAGAAAATGCGGTTACTAAAAGGGTCTTCTTTGTCTTCAAAAAAAAAAAAAAAAAAAAAAAAAAAAAAGGGTCTTCTTTGTAAGACAAAATAGAGACAAACTACAAACGTCACATATTTTATTTTCAACAAACTATTTTCAAACACAAATCATTAATTTCCTCAACGATAAAAAGAACACAAATTATTAATGACAAGCCTCCTCCATTTACGCTCTCTAACCATCATCAGCAGGTAAACGTATGCACGTAATAATCCAATTGAAGGTGTGAAGCCTCCTAACATGCAATAGCTGTTACACCCTCTACCAGCTTGTTCAACCTCTTGGTCATTAATCTCTCACCATAAACCTCACTTGATTGGCATTTGTACCTACAATTAACATCAAATTACACATTTACACTCATCATCAGATTTTGCTAAACCTTGCTCTTTCCTTGGTTTTTTAAAATGACGAGTTTAAGCTTCTATTAGATAACAGTTATGTGGACTTAATGTCTAAGCATCTATAATTATATTTGAATTCAAAGCAAAGACAAAAGTCCTACAACTAATGGCAGGGCCTTACCTCAAACCAGGGGTAGAGACCATGGCAGGCATTATCGGGCCAGCCCAGCCCAAGTTCGGCCCAAACTTCTTTTCAATGTAACATTTTATGATATTTTAAACTTCTCTTTCAAGGTTGACAATGTAGTATGGAAACTCAAATTTAGTATGGAAACTAAAATGGACTATCTTTACAAGCTTACAACTAAGAGCTAAAAAGAGAAAACACATTCCAGGTTAGTCTAACTAGTTGTATGTTGTTATCCTGAAACGATCAAACTCTGAATGTCATCAAACAGCGGTATCATTTCAGGATGACATTATTTGGAAGTCAAATTATTTTTACTCGTAGGACGATTTCTTATCATTTTAGTGTATTAATACAGGGAATTGATACCAATAAAGGGAATGTTGATCTTTGGGTACAGGGATAATGGTAATGGACAAAGATCAACATCTATGAACATGAAATTCATTTTGCATTGGGATGGAGTATTGAAGAATAAAGGGAATTGAATACCTTGCAGGGGGTAAGGGAATCAAAGGAGTCAAACTCTGTGCAAGTCTAACAGCATCTTCCTCACAAGTTACGGTTGTGTTGAAGCAAAAGTATCTCCCGCATGTGGACTGATCCTCGAAAGCCCGAATATGAACGTCCGCAAGAAACTCAACATGAACCACAGCCAACACTCCATTTTGATACATCTCTGCCGCGCCTTCGAGATACGACAGCGTAGGGGCAGAGCTCAGCTGAGCAACACCCGGCCCATTCACTAGGCCCGCGGTTATGGACACCATGTTCACCATTCTGTCCATAGCCAGTGCCAATGCTGCCTGCTCACTCTTTGTCTTTGCAAGGGCATACCATAGCTGGACAAGTAGTGTATAATAAATACTAAATCAGACTTAAATTATAAATAAACCTAATTTAATACCTTACCAGACAGGATGAGACCAATCTAAATCTGACTTAAAAAGAGTAGACCATATCAGACCAGTCCAGACCAAACTAGTTCACACTATACATTTTATTGAATTATTGTAGTCTATGAACGCCCTTAGAGGTATTAGGTTCTACTAACAGCGTAAGCGGGGGAAACATAAGAGGTCATGGATAAGTGGATAACATAGTGGTTTAGATAAGAGAAAAGCTGCAATATGATCTCAAGGATTGAGTTATAGGCATTCAACTAAGTCATAATGCACTATTGATCAAACCACACTAGAACATTGCACCAAAGAAGAGAGTGTCATCATCATAAAAGTTCAGTTTATTCTCATATAAGTAAGTGTTTTGGGGCTTGCCTTACCTTATTTTTTATGCAAAAATCTGTGTTGCTCCATGATGTTTCATCCACACCCTTGAGAGAAGAGATGTTGGCTGTCCAAATGGCTGCTGTTAAAGATGAGGTCAACACAACTTTCTGTATGCTGTCACTTTGTGCACATGCCTCCATCACATTAATTATGCCCTTAACCTCTAAATCTGCAACCATTTCCTATAAAATCCACAATTCAATAAAAAATGATTAGTATCAGGCTATCAGCATGTACTACAACTGAATCCAAGGAAATTCAAAATTTTGATAAATGGAAGTTTACCAACAAATTGACTGAAACCAAGTGGATAAAAGCTAAAATCGACCATAACGCATCAGGCCGTTCGTATTAGAATTTAAGATTTATGCTTAAAAATGCGCTTGAACCGACCCAGAGAATGACTGGAATGTGGCAAAACTGGCCAAACTCAGCACAAGGCAAACGAAAACAAATTATATTACTTGATTCAGTGATTGAGTTCGCATTTTTCAGAACCAAACTGGCAACAATATAAGCAAAAAAAAAAAAAACTCTTTTCCTTTTCTGTTTTGCTAAAAGATGTTTTTTTAAATGAGATTAAAAAACAGCTTACATCATAGCCATCTGGATTGTCAAGGGAACAAAAAAGACCAGAACAGCCTCTAAGGGCTTCAACAATGCTTCTGTAACTTAACACATCCACACTATATATCACCAGTTTCTCCTTCACTGTTTTCTGCAAATCCTTGACTTTGTTTATAATTTCTTTCTCTCCTTCAAAATAAAATAAAATAAACTATTAATTCCAATCTCTATGCATATAAATAACTTATTGTAATCACATCATCAAATTGTCTACTGAATTGCTAAACTTTGCTAAAGATATTTGTAAAGAAATATTTTTGATAAGTTAAGGAGAATAATCAAATACGTTTCTATGAACATTGTGGAAGGAACTAGGAAGGCCATTAATTTCCACTTTTACTAAAAGGTAGAAACTTTTATACTCCGTGTTACTTTCGTTTTCAATGGATTAAGAAAGTTTGATCGATAATGCAAATAAGTCAAAAAGTGAGTAACCAAACAGCCCCTTATTGAATACGAAAATCCAAAAGGGTACTCTCCCAGCCTCCCTGCTCTTAAACGAAGTGTTCATTAACTAAAAGCAATCTGTTTATAACTAAATTATCATTTATGAATCAAGGAAGTAAAACATATTAGAAATAAATTGTTTGTATTTGTCCATAAAGCTAATCATATAATTCAAGGAAATAAATGATCACACAATTAAGTTCCCATACCTCCCTATTAAGTTCATTGTTACATGAAAAAGAAAAAATTGAGAGAAATAAGACATTATTTCCCTTCCTTTTAAGCACTAAGCAGCAAAGTAGGGGTAAAATTCGAAACACAAAAACAAAAAACTATTACACTAATTATGACTTATGAGTAAGTGAGAACTTGGTTACACTTAAAAAAAACATTTTTATTCTTATTCACTACATAAAAACAGTCCATTTTTGTTTACCAGTTTGTAATAAAATTAGATGTCAAACTTGTGAAAGAACATATTTTCTTCTTTAGAGTTATTTGAGGAAGAGATGAAATATATAATAGATTTAAAGAGAGTTACCAGTATTCTGGACAGCAGCATGAACAATATAGCCTTTAAGGAGGAGTTTCTTCAAGATCCAGTAGCCCACAAAGGTGGATGCATCAAGAACACAAACTGTTTGTAAATACTCCTCACTCTCTTCACCCATAAATGCAACTTCTATTTCATTTCCTTTCATCTCTATAAATAAATAAACTTGATCAATTTCAGTGGAATTACTCACTTTATTAATCTCTTCTTCCCTGCCTTAATAATTCTTGAACCTCCCCCCTTCACTGTGTGTGTTGGTATGGTAGCTGCTTTATATTGCTTTTGAGAATTGAATTGTTTGAAGCATATATAGAGAGAGAAGTGATGGCATGACTACATCACGGGTGAGGGAATAATAAGGTTAGAGAAGAGTAGTAGAAGTATTCAGCTTAATAATGTTCTAATCTGATTACACCAGTTATATTTAGAGCCCGTTTGGTAATACTGAAATCGACCGAATCGGTTGATCTGCTGAAATTTATGAAGTTCTTGCTGAAATGATTGTATTGACTAATTTTGTTGATTTATGAAAAAATTAAGGAAAAGATAATTAAAATACCCCAAATTTTGAAGGGGTGTGAGATGAGCACCCCAAACTTGCATATGTAATTTAAATACCTCAAACTTTGTATAAAAAGTTATTTTAATGCCATAGTCAAGTATTAATTTTTTCAAAAATGTAAATTTATGGTGTTAATTACATAATTTAAAATATTTTAGAATTCATGAAGACACAATCAACATTCTAAACTTCCATTGCGAAATAAATAATGTTACCTGCAATCTATATAATTGCAACACTTTTAATTTTCTATTTTAAATTATGCAATTAACCCCATAAATTTAGATTTGTGAAAGAAATAATACATGGCGATGGTGCAAAAATAACTTTTTATATAAAGTTTAGGGTATTTAAATTACATATGCAAGTTTGGGGTGTTCACCTTACACTCTTTCAAAGTTTGGGGTATTTTTATTATTTTTCCCAAAATTTAATGATTATCTACAGTAATTTCAACCAATATAGTAAAGAAAAAGTTACTGCACCCTTAATTTCTTATTATTACAGAATTCTGTGCGCGAAATCAAAAGTTACGTGTTTAGTTAAAAAGTAGACTGATAAGGTAAGAAACATGGTCACCATACGAGCTCTTATTTTTTTCAACCCAAAAGGTGGAGTTGCCCACCCCAGAGGTTTTCACACCCTGATTGAGGCCCGATATGAAAGAATGTTGAAGGAGTACACTTCGTTACGATCTCAATTCAAACAATTTTTTAGTGAGGTGAGGCAAAGTCTAGTGTCTATATCGATTTTTTCTATGGGGTGGGAAATATTCTAAAGTGGCTTGGGATGACATATGTCTACGAAAAGAGGAGGGGGGCCTTGGAATTCATAGTGCCAAGGTTTGGAACCATGCTCTCCTCTCTCGTACACTTTGGGATGTTATCCCACACAACCGTGACTCGATGTTCATGAAGAAATTGAGTCACATCCGGGACCAAATTTTGGGTTGCTTTAATAATTTGAATGATACCATTATGGGTCTAAATTCTAGATCCATTAATGGTAAACTCCTTTCCGGAAAGATTTATGAGTTGTTGAGAACTAAAAGGATGCCGAGAGTATGGATGAGCTTCATTTGGAAGTCTTGTATCCCCCCAAAGTTCTCATTCAACGTTTGGCTTGCTTTGAGGAACCGGTTACCTACACAGGATAACTTAAGTTACCTACATATTGTTAATCGTTGTGACCTTTGCAAGGGTGGATTGGAAACAATTCCACACCTATTTTTTCGTTGTCATTACACTTGTAGGGTATGGGAAAAAATAAAGGAATGATTGGGCATGACATGAGAGATTACCACGCTTAGCAGCTCGATCAAATGGATCCTGAAGGACCACAAAGGATCAAAGATCAAAGAGAAGGTTGTCTGGATTGCTTTTTGCGCCGCAGTTTACTACCTTTGGCACGCTAGGAATGCCAATCGATTTGATGAAGAGGACGTCAAGGAAGAGGAGATCATCTCAAAAGTCAAGCATGTGGTGTATAAAATACTTTTCAATTTATACCCGCATGACTTGATTACATTTTGAGTAGAAGGCCACGACATGGATATTATGGATGCCGCGGCTTTGGACAGATTGCTACATGATTGTTTGGTGCGCCGAGACATGGTATTTTGGATGCCGTGGCTTGGGCACCCAGGACACCGCAGTATGGACATCATGGATGCTGCGGCATGAAGCATGGTCTTGGATTTTAGGGTGTGTGCATCTTGCAACACCTTTGTACTTTGTTTAGAATCTTAGCCTCTGAACTGTGTGCGTGCATGTGCTGCACAGATGTATGTTTGAACCTCTTGATGGGCCAAGTATAATACTTGGTTATTTTGGCATAGATTAGATCAAATAAAAACTTCCTCTCGCCCTCATATTATGTGGGGGTGGGGAAGGTTTTAGGAGATCTAGGATATGTGATGTATAGTTTTCTGGGTGTTAATATATATTTACATTTCATCCAAAAAAAATTGGAAGAAGCTTTAAGGCAATTAAACTTTAGACCTCAACCCAACTCTCTCAGACCAACTCCAACAAGCACCAACTATCACACCAAAATGGTGGATTTGCCAAAAAAAATGCTCCAATAGCCACACCATATCTTACACCATTACACCATTTTGGGGGAGAGGGATAGACGTTACGCCATATATGGTGTACACCAAATCCCACACCATCCTCTTTTTTTAATTTGTTGTTATTTCAAAAGTGATCCAAAGTTTTGATTGTTATAGTTTTGACCCATTTTTAAAACAACAAATTAGGATGTTTTTACTTGGACTAAAATTTGTTGGTCTGGTCTGGTATGATCTGGTCTGGTCTAGTATGAACTTATGTGGTCAGGTCTGATTTCTTTGTATTTTTTATAACTACCCAAGTTTTAATCTATTGATTTAAGTTTAAGTATTACGGAGTACTTTATTAATGACGTACAAATTATTATAATATTATTGTAATATTTAATTTTATGCAATTTTAGCTTGTATTTGTGAAATATTGATTATTGTATTTTAATTGGTGAAATGCGTGAAAATACATATCAAAATGGTGTATTTTATTTTGTATGTGTGAAATAATGTGTGAAATGTCAAAATATTAAATGAGGGGATAATGTATAAATATATGATAATTAGATACTTAAATAGAAGAATGGTAAAAAGTTAGTAAAAAGAATAAAAAGGGAATATTCCTTTTTAGTGATGAAAATGGTGTAAACTGTTGGAGATCAGATACTTTATGATGTGATGTTTACACCATTTAAGTGTAAAAAATGGTGTAAACTGTTGGAGATGATCTCAAATGTGACCAGGCCCGGTTCTGACATTTTATAGGCCCGGGACAATACAAATAGACTGGGCCTTAGGGATAGCGCACGAAAAGCTATAATTTAAAATGATACAATTTTACCGTCAAAATACGAGTATAAGTGTATAACACATAAAAAAAAACTAACAATGCATATGGTTAGAAAATATATAAAGAGCGTATTGATAAGTGACATTCGAGGATATAATCATTATAATGTACCTAACAACGGAATGAAACAAGTAGTGCAACTATAAGGCGCAATATATAAAAATTTTGAATCAAGGGAATTTGTGAAAGTTATATCTTGTATGAGTAACTTTTTCATATTTTAAATCACACTTTCACTAGACAAAAACAAATTCTAAGTTTCTAAATTATGGACACTAAAGTTCAATCTTTCACTAAATGAGAGAATCGGAAGAAATTTGTGAAATATATCAATGGATATACATAAGACATGTACACTAAAAGATTAAAATTAATGTAATAATCCTTAATGATTCAAAAGAAATGGTGAAATATGTTCCCAATGAATTCTAATGTGGATATTTCAAAATTATAGACTTGTATCGTGTACATGGTAAATAACAAATTAGAAGTATCTAAAAATATAAGTTTGATTTTATTTTTTATTTTTTATAAAATATAATTTATATATATTTAAAATATTTATGTACATACATACACACATATTTTAAAATTTTATGGGCCCTATTGGAGCAAAGGGCCCTGGGCCCATGCCCCTCCTGCCCATGCCCCAGGACCGGCCCTGAATGTGACAAGCTAAGTATGTTTTTATCATGCTCCTAATACATGTTCATTGTTTTTTTTAAACAAATTATAATTTACTTTTCTCTTTAGGAGCAAACTTTCAATCAAGAACCTCAAAAATGAAAAACTATTTATATAGAGATTGAATGATTGTCTTATTGGAAATTGTCAACGTACAACTACGTAATATATACGGAGTAATAGATTTTGATTTCTTAATTTATTATTTATTGTGTAGCTAATTTTTGATTTTATACAACTAAAGAATATTTTAATTTTTAAAATAATAAAGAACATTATTTTGTAGTCATGATCTTTAAATTTTTTGTTGGTAATTTTCAATTATTCATACTCGATATTGAAAATTTCCAACTCTCAATTCCTTATTTTTAAGTCCTTTAATTAATAAAATTCATTCAGACTATTTATTCTTGACTTTTATACTAGCGAAACAGTGCCGCTCAATTAGTTCAAACAAAAATGATGTTTGTATCCACTCTTATACCCACTTTTGTACCCACCGAATGAAGTGTTTATATTTTGTCTGTGAACAAAAAGAAAACTTCACAAACATGGTGGGTATAAGGTGAGTATTAGAGTTGGTAATCAAGCATTGTTGTAGTTCAAAAGTCTTTGAAATTTTGTGCGTCATTTCATCATTGGTTATATCAGTCTTCATGCTTGGTTTAAATATGTTTTTTCTTGCAACAAATACAGTGCATTTGTTTTACTGGAATGATATTTTCTTATTTTTCACTTCTCTAATTTATGTTTGTTTTCATTTGATCATTTACTGATAATAGCTGTTCTTTCATTCTTTGTGATGCTATTCAAAAGTTTTTAAATTTTTTAGAAGGTTCTTAATACACATTTTAAAAATATGAATAATTAACTTTCATATTAGCCTCAAAAGAATTATAAAAAATATAAATATAAAAGTTTCTAGTGATATTTTGTAATCCACAATAACTTTTTTTTGTAAATAGAGTTTCCTCATAATTAGAGATGGACTAAAAATAAATAGTGCATATTACAGAGATAAAAAAACAAAACAAAAAAATTACAGACCCAAAATAAAGGGTGTCATATTTGTAGAGACTAAAAACATATTTAAACCTTCATATTTAACCAGCATGGATCGGGTTTGTGTAACATTACTGACATACTTCGAATAATCCTACATCGATAGATTTTAGAAGTTTTTTTTAATCGAAACGGTTTGTAAGGGTTTTGGTAAAACGCGAAC